AGTGACGTTTGTGCTACAGTGTGCATAATTCGGTCGTACAAGAAATCGCGTTCATATAGTTTGTGTGCATGGGGGTAATACATTGTGTGCCATATTGTGCAGTGTAATTGTGGCATGACCTGATGTGCACTTACGTTGACTTGTATGTGCCATCATGTGCGACAATTTTATAGATTGTAACGTCACTTATGAAGGAAAAGTCGGCCAAAAAACTGCATAAATTAATCTAGGATAAGCTAACAAAAAACATATTCAGCGTACATGAATGTACCAAAGTGAACTGAACTAAACTAAACCATTGATTAACTAGCTAAAATGAACACACGAAGCTATCTTTGTTCGAAGGCGTCATGGTATCCGACTACACTACGAATGTTCTTGGACTGGTGAACATTAATCTCAATCGTCAAAATCTGGCGCATATAAGACATCCTCAACAAAGTAAGACCCTTAGTATCACCCTTTTGCAGAACACAATCCCATGCATTCACTGATTGTCCCAAAAAGGTCTCCATATGCCGCATTGAGAAGACACTACAATCCACTTTGTTATGTGCATCGCGCAAGCGCATCTGCATCCTTCTCGGGGTAATCCTCCGTACAGCAGCCCCATACCGCTCATCAACCACATCATCCAGGAACACAGACAACAAATCTTTCTAGCACAAGGCAAAGAGCACAAGGAAACAATGTCAATTAAATGATCTAGAAAAACCAACATTCGGGGGAAAGAAATGTGTATGACAAATGCTAAACATTTGTGAGTGCACTCAGGAAGATATGTGTGTGCCATAATATCCAACCAGAGAGACTACCAAGCAGCCATGATAAAATATAGTGTGCATCTAGGTCATCTTTTCTGTGCCAACACGTGCTGGACTAATTACTTAACCAAAAAAATGAGGCACTAGTTGATGTATTGTTAGGATGAATTGTGTGAGCCCTACTTTAGAACAACAATGAAAGGAAAAATTTCCCATTAAAACATCCAATCATATGATATATATAATTAATTGATAAATGAGCATGAGCTGTATGTAAACTCAACGAATTGAACATAAAATTCAATCTAGTAGTATGCAAACTGATCTGATCGAGGATAACCACACTAAAACAGGAATTACAGGATAACCAAATCGCTAATGAATCCTACATACGATCGGAGCGCAAGTTGGTGCTAATGTATTCCGGCAATCCATCGTGGTGTCCGTTAAAATTATGCCTAGAGAAACGCAACGAACTCCACTGATGGGAATCCGTGGCAACGGAAGAAACGTCGGAGGCGGCACACTTTGCCGCCGAAGCAGTCTGGCCGTCAGAGAAAGCAGCAGCGATTCGGCGGAGTCCAACTACGACAATTCAGTACGGAATGCGAAGATCTAGCGAAAAAAAAAAAAAAACTCACCTTCCACACGCGTAATAACATATGAAGTTCTAAAAGTACCCCTGCTAGCCCATAGTATACTTCAATCAGCGATAAAAAAAACGTTTAACCACATAATTAAACATGAACCATAGATTAATAAAAATAAAAGGTTTAGATTGGTTCCTAGGTTCCTACCTAAAGATAGGTTCCTATATGATTCTCCATATATATATATATATATATATATATATATATATATATATATATATATATATGTAGGGTTGAGTTCAAATGAGGACAACAATATATAGAGGACTGTGAGGACAAATAATGGGCACAGAACAAATAAATACCAGGCACACAACTTAATACATAATGGAACACAAGAATAAATGTAAACATCAGGTTTTGAACCCAGGCTTTATAAATTAACAAATCTAGCACGCGACATACAAACTGTGGCACACGACTACATTCGGCCATGCACACAACATACCGCATAATGGCACACACTACATCAGTCCTCACAGTCCTCTATAATATACTTGTCCTCATTTGAATACACACACACATATATATATATATATATATATATATATATATATATTATAGTATTTATTTATTATAATAATTTTATTATTATACTGTTGGCGGGCCCCCGTCGGCCCGCCAAGCCCGCCCCGTCAAAGCCCGCGGGGCGGGTAAAAAAGCCCGCCAAAATACGGGCTTAGAATATCAAAGCCCACCCCGCCCTTTTCGCGGGGCGGGGCGGCCTTACCCGGCGGGCTAAGCCCGTTTTGACGGCTCTAGGTGAGATAAGTCTTTTCTCCTAAAGAGCATATTCGTCATGGAGATTTGTTGAGTTATCTTTTCTCCTAAAGAGCATATTCGCCAAGGTGGAGATTGTTTAGTTATCTTTTCTCCTAAAGAACATATTCGCCAAGGTGGAGATTGTTGTGTTTGTCTCATATATGGATTAGGAATACGAGTTTGTCTCATACGAGGAATAGGAGCGAAACGGGTAGACCCTTTGTACCGGGATTAGATGCCTATAAATATATTGGTTGTATCCCTAAGGGTTGTGTCACCACTAACACCATCACTATGAATAAGAGTATTGTTTCACTCCCGTGGACGTAGGCATATTGCCGAACCACGTAAATCTTGCATTCTTTTCTTGTTTCGGTTAATCTCAACAGCTTCTATGTTTCTTCAGCTTTTCAGGGACAATCAAAGCTGCAGCACTCACCGTAGCTTCGATCAACCCCACCATATCCTAGTCTTTCTTGATGCCGAACATAACCCTAAATGCACTTTCAACATCCATTGATCAAGAAAGTCTTTCTACTATACAAGAGAAGGGGTTATTGAGTGTTTTCTAATACTTTGATCTGTATTTTCGTAGTGAGTGTTTTTTTATATTTTCTTCCGACTTGTGAATGTGGGTGAACACATTTATATGCAGTAAATAGTGAATGGCGGGGAAATTAGTTAGACTCAGTCCCACTCTAATTGGGATTTAGTCATTGTGATAGATAAATGAGATTAATTCATATTTTTATAATGAGAAATGTAATAGTAGTGGAAGCCCACAAGGCAACAATGCAATTTTTATTTTATGGACCATGATCTATACGTTTTTGTGAATCATAAATAAAAAGTACATTTTTAATATATTAAAGATATATTATTTGTATACATAAAGTACATTATTCGAAAGTTTATAATTTTTTATATATTATTAAATAATGTACATTCAGTATATTAAAAATGTATATTACATTCATGGTCTACACAACTATGTGGACCATGGTTCAGACAATAATTTGCCGCAACAATGAGGGCAGTGGCAGATCCAGAAAATAATGTGAGTGTGGGCGTACTTAACTTGAGATCTCACTTCTAAGAAAAAATTGCATCTTCTATAATTTTGTTTGAAGAATTTGCTTAGACAAGAAACTAAAACGTATAAAATGAGTTTTGAACCTTGGATACTCCATTTTGATATTCAAGATTCAACTCATTGATCTACTAAACACTTTACTAATTTATCTATGTACTTATATATTAGTTGAGAGGATTGAGGGGAGGCAGTGGCCCCACTGCCCCCATTGTGGCTCCGCCAATGAATGAGGGTCTATATATCATGTAATTGCAAGTTTGATTTAATTTATTTCAATATGCAATATTAAGGACTAGAATGAACTCCAAAATGAAACTGCGACACATATGCATAAAAAGCAAACTCTACCCATTCATGTGCAGTCGACTTCAGACTAAAACATTATATTTGAATCTTTTAGAAGTGTCAAATTCACATTTTCGATGATTAATTTGTTCTCCAAATACAACAAAAAGATATGTATATAAGAATTTAGAAAATGAAAATTTGCGCTCGGTTTTAAACATTTGGAGAATGACAATGAAAATGTGAAATAAATTATGATTACGAATACTACACTTTGGTTTGGGTTTGCAAATAAAAAGAACTATGTAATTTGTATAAAAGGGAAATCATATTAGTTTGGATTTTTTTAATCTATAATGTAGGTTAAATATTTTTTCCCATTTTACTTAAAAAATCATATTCTGTGTTATAATGAAAAAAAATTAAAATTCAAAAAGTTTTTTTTTTTTAGAAAATTAAAAAGTAAAAAACTAATCTTAATTTTTTTAAAAATAAAATAAAATAAAATAAGACGCGTGTCAACACGAGAAACACTAACCTACCAAATAGGTTGGTTTAGGACTCAATTGAACATTTCCACTGGTTTCCGGGGGTTCAAATGAAGGTTGTTTTACTTAGATGCCCAATTGCACTATTGTTATGACTTTGGGACCAATTTCACATTTTTTCTAAATTATATTGTTGGTCTTGTCAAGTAAAAGGTCTAGGAGAGGGGTTGAATAACTTTTTTAACAGTTTTAAAACTTTTAAACACAACTCTAGGTGAGCTTGAGTTTATAAAATCAAAGCTAGGAAACGGTATGTTTTCTTGCAGCGAGAGTCTTAAGCTTGCCAAAAAAATCATAGAAAATGTTTTGCTATTTTAACGTGATTGTGTGTAAATATGAGGTATGTTAATTTTCAAATAAAATTACTAATAAAAGTAAACATAAGACACAAGAAATTTTTATAGTGGTTCAAAAAATACTTCCTATTCCACTCTTCTCCTTAACCCATGAAGGTTAGTTCCACTAAGTATTGCTATGATATATATCACCTCTATTTGGCTATATTTTACCCCATCATATTCCATTCTATGCATATTATGGGTTGTAAAGTTGTGAAATGTGACTAATTTGTGTATCTTTATCCATAGTTACACCCATTTACACAATAAAGGGGGAAAAGATCATTGGAATTTGTCGATTAAGGAGCTAATTAAGGAACACATTGGATGGAAGCTAAGAAGATAATAAGTTAGTTGCATGTTCATAATATGTTAATTGTAAAAGGCACATAATGTATTAAAAGGTACATAATATATTGGCTGTATGTGCATAATTTGAACATCGTTCTTGGATCAAGATATAAAATACAAAGTATATCATGGTCCATGGTATAACTTGTTGTCATCACTAAATGGAATGAGGTAACTGTTATGCGCATGCCAAAAACATCTGGATACGAAAAATATCAATACACAATATTAATTGCAGGTTTACAGCATGTAAGATCAATGAACTTACACACACACTGCAACTTTTGAGTACTATATGAGATACACTTCAACAGAAGAGGGTACTATATTACATATTGAATCTACATTATATCTACTATATGAGATACACTTCAACAGAAGAGGGTACTATATTACATATTGAATCTACATTATATCCCTCACATTATTTCTCACAATAAACTTATTAGGATGCCACCTGGTGCTGGAATTGGCTTTTCACCAACCTCTAGCTTGAATCCGTATTTCAATACAATTGAACATGAGATCTAATCTCCCCACCAGCGATGAGCAAATACGCCGCTGTTTTTGAGGCTCATTAGTAGGTTGGTGCAGTCTCCTTGCCGGCATGTTTCCCTTCTGCGGTGTCTGAGCAGTGAAGGAAGAGTTCATCAACACGATAGATCAATCCAGTTTTTAACAAGTCACGAAGATATATATGAGTTCTAATCTCCCCACCAGTGATGAGAAAAGGCGCTCCATCTCCTACACAAGAAGAGCTGGCACAGAAACCCTATCAAGAGCTCTAGAGAACACAAAATCGAAATAATTAACCTCAAACTCTATCTCATACACAAATTTCTTCCTGAAGGGAGAAAGACTGGTGTACATTGATGCCAAAAACATAAGAGAATCATAGTTCCTGCAATGCCAACATGGCTGCATCAGCTCCTTCCCCAACACACAACGCCTTAGCATTTGAATCCAAGAAACCATTCCCAATCACTTCCATAAACACATTCTTTGTCAAATTTTTGTTCTCAATGCACAAAGCAACAAACATCCCAAACAAAGGAATTTATATGGGATTGGGAAGCAGGGTGAAATTGAAATACAGATTCAAGCTAAAGAGCTCAGTGACAATTTGAAGAAACGAAATAGCAATCAAAGCAACCCAAAACATGAATATTTTAAGGAGCAAGCGCATGATGAAGGAACCAAATCTTTAGATAATATTTTAAGTGTGCACTCTTAGGGAAATGGTTGTGCCATAGAAGGTGTTGGAATAAGTGAAATATTTTTCAAGTTGACCCTGAAGCATTCATCCAAGCCTGGAGCCTCGAGCGGTTTCAATTGGGCCACACGTTTACTCTCTCTCGTTGTCGACTTCTCGCAACTTAGAGAGTGGGAGACTGATGATGGATATATTGGAAATGACCCAATAATAATAGAGACCCGGGTCTGGAAATGTATAACCCGATCCGAGCAGCCCAAGAAGAGTCTCAAGCCCGGAGCTTACCTCCGGGCCCAGAATGCTGGGCCTTGACTAAGTCTCACGGCCCACCACATGGGCTTGGATTTAGTTCTGTGGCCCTCCACCAATTTAGCAATTGTTGGTTGGAATTTCCTTTACATAAATAGCCTAGTAATTGTCTTGTTAAGGGCATGTTCTACCTTTTGTCCTAAACTACTACTTGTGATAGTATTACACCTCTGTAATAGCACTTTATACACAATTAATACAATATCAGTCTCGGTGACTATATTCGTACCCTTATTATCGTTCAATTATATACTTGTTACATTTATTCGGATTAATTAAGTCGGACCCCCCAGTTTAATTAATTCCATCAATCATCATCATCGGAAAACAACTCATGAGTTGCATTTCCTAGATCCTCGTCAAACAACAACTTTATGATTCTGCTTCTATGCTTCTTCAACTTTTCAGGGACACTCAAAGCCGCAACGCTCACCACAACTTCGATCAACCCTACCATATCCTGCTCTTTCTTGATGCCGACCATAACCCTAAATGCATTTTCAACATCCATTGATCAAGAAAGTCTTTCTACAAGGAAAGGGATTATTCAGTGTTTTCTAATACTTCCGATTCGTACTTTCCTAGTGAGTGTTTTCTTATATTTCCTTCAGACTTGTGAATGTCAGGTGAACACATTACACATTTATATGCAGTAATAGTGGATGGCGGGAAAATTACTTAAGACTCAATCCCACTATAATTGGGATTTAGTCATTGTGATAGACAAATGAGATTAATTCATATTTTTATAATGAGAAATGTAACAGTACTGAAAGCCCACAAGGCAGTAATGGATAAATTATTGTGTGCACCATGGTCCACATAGTTGTTTGGACTATGAATATTAGATACATTTTTAATATATTAAAAGTACATTATTTGATAGTATATATAAAATAATGTACTTTTAGTACTCAAATAATGTACTTTTAAAAAATTTACTTTACTTATAAAAAATAATATATGTTTAGTATATTAAAAATGTACTTTTTATTTATAGTCTACACAACTGTATAGACCATGGTCCATGTAATAATGATTGGCAACAATGAGAGTCTATATATCATATAATTGCCAGTTTGATTTACTTTATTTTAATACTAGTTTTTTTACGCGCATTGTGCGATTGGGATAATGCACAATGTTTTTTTTTAAATAAGTACTTTAAAGTATATTAAGGCAAGATTATATTGAAATTATTCATGCATAGATAATTGAAGGTTGAATTTGCGTATTTAAATAGGTAATTCTTCTCCCAAAGGTTGAGTCCCCTACCCCAAGGGCCCCCCACACTCTGACCCGACAGAGCATTGTAGGAAGTTGTAAATTACGGTGACTCAATGGTTCAGCAGACATGACCAAATGCCGGTGCGAACAAGGAATCTGCCCACTTTGGACATAATTCCCGCACTGCCGCCGCCGAGGTTCAAACCTTGGTCTCTTCTCCCAAATACTGCCCACTAAACCATTGAGCTAAGCCCGTGCGGGTTAAATAGGTAATTCTAAGTTTACAAATGCAAGATAATATAGTCAAGATTGATTATAATTGTCAATAAAATAATTGCATAGGTATTGTTGAAACCAAATACGGGACATAAGGGAGAACAAATAAAAATTAGGGCATAAAATATTAAATATCTACTAATATTGTTTGATGAGATTTCGACATTAGGATTTGTGGTTAAGTTCTATTAAGACTTTAATATTAGAATTAGATTAATGGTGTAATTATAATTCTATATTAGACGTTAATATTATAATTAGACTAACGGTGAATTAACGGTATTTAACGGAAAAGTTAAATGGATAATCATATAATTAAGGATAAATTAGAAAAATTTAAAAAAAAAAAAAATTAAAACCTGAACAATTTGAACCATTCATTTGATTTAATAATTTGGCGGTCATTTTTTCTACCCAATGTTAATAATTAAATAAATTCGTTGGTCAAATCCGCTAATATAATCCGCGCGCTAACTGCTGATTGTCAAACAAGGACATTGCAAGGTAGTTCTCACTTCAATTTGTTGTGTGATTTGAATACTCTCTTTGTCACAAAATCTCTCAAGTAGTTAATATGGTTGGCTTTATTAATTATATATTTTTTTTAATTTTTTCATGGTATTAATAAAATACTTGGTAAATAAATATATAGCATTATTTTGTATTATAACTTTGATATTTAATTAGAAAAATAGTGCACAAAAAAAGATAATAGACAATGTAGTGAATATAATAAATTGATGAATTTGAATGTAAAAATTTTTACATTTGAGAAAAATAAAGACAATATAACTAATGAAAATATTTCTCTTAATTAATTAATAATGAATAATTTTTTTCATTGAATTAAGACACTGTAAGGACAATGTAGCGAATATAATCAATTAATAAATTTGAATATAAAGAATTTTTATATTGTAGAAAAATAAAGACAATATAACTAATACAATTATTTCTCTTATTTAATTTATTGATAATGAATAATTTTTTTTTTGAATAAAGGCATTGTGGACACATAATTCTAAATTAAATAAATGCATATCTATAATTTTTTGTTGTAGCTACTAAATTATTATTTATATAATTTAATAAGAGTAAAATAGAGTACTAATTATGCCAACTTTGATTGGGATGAGGTTCGAACCTAAGACATTTTTTTTTTTTTGAAATCAATGAGTAAGTTAACGGTGAACTAACGGCAATTCTTAAAATTTTAACGGAATTAGTAACGGTGTGTGGGTATTTTAGGAAATTTTAGTGTAAAAATTTAAATCTTATCAATCTTTTAATCAATCTGAGTCATTCATTTGATTAAAATCTGTGACCGCCATTTTTTCTACCTATTATAGGCCTAACTCTCTTGGACTCTTATTAGTATACTAGTTTTTTACGCGCATTGCGCGATTGGGATAATGCCCAATATATATATTTTTTTAAATAAGTACTTTAAAGTATATTAAGGCAAGATTATATTGAAATTGTTCATGCATAGATAATTGAAGGTTGAATTTGCGTATTTAAATAGGTAATTCTTCTCCCAAAGGTTGAGTCCCCAACCCCAAGGGCCCCCCACACTCCGACCTGACAGAGCATTGTGGGAAGTTGTAAATCACGGTGACTCAATGGTTCAGCAGACAGGACCAAATGCCGGTGCGAACAAGGAATCTGCCCACTTTGGACATAATTCCCGCACTGCCACCGCCGAGGTTCAAACCTTGGTCTCTTCTCCCAAATATTGCCCACTAAACCATTGAGCTAAGCCCGTACGGGTTAAATAGGTAATTCTAAGTTTACAAATGCAAAATAATATAGTCAAGATTGATTATAATTGTCAATAAAATAATTGTATAGGTATGGTTGAAACCAAATACGGGACATAAGGGAGAACAAATAAAAATTAGGGCATAAAATATTAAATATATACTAATATTGTTTGAGGAGATTTCGACATTAGGATTTGTGGTTAAGTTCTATTAAGACTTTAATATTAGAATTAGATTAATGGTGTAATTATAATTCTATATTAGACGTTAATATTAGAATTAGACTAACGGTGAATTAACGGTATCTAACGGAAAAGTTAAATGGATAATCATATAATTAAGGATAAATTAGAAAAAAAATTTTAAAAAATCAAAACCTGAACAATTTGAATCATTCATTTGATTTAATAATTTGGCGGTCATTTTTTCTACCCAATGTTAATAATTAAATAAATTCGTTAGTCAAATCCGCTAATATAATCCGCTAATTGTTGATTGTCAAACAAGGACATTGCAAGGTAGTTCTCACTTCAATTTGTTGTGTGATTTGAATACTCTCTTTGTCACAAAATCTCTCAAGTAGTTAATATGGTTGGCTTTATTAATTATATTTTTTTAAAATTTTTTCATGGTATTAATAAAATACTTGGTAAATAAATATATAGCATTATTTTGTATTATAACTTTGATATTTAATTAGAAAAATAGTGCACAAAAAAGATAATAGACAATGTAGTGAATATAATCAATTGATGAATTTGAATGTAAAAATATTTACATTTGAGAAAAATAAAGACAATATAACTAATGAAAATATTTCTCTTAATTAATTTATTGATAATGAATAATTTTTTTTCACTGAATTAAGACATTGTAAGGACAATGTAGCAAATATAATCAATTAATAAATTTGAACCAGAGATAGATGTGATAGTTGGGTCATGGGAACACGATGCTAGCTTGTTCTATCTTGTTTCTATTTTTGCAGGTGCTGCTTCTTTGACCTCGGAGGCATGAACTGGTCTTGGGCTCTTTTTGGTTTCGCCTTTGCAGGCATTTTTGGAAAAGACCAGGTCTCAACGCCGATGCAAGCGGTCAAAAATTGCATCGTAGCCCGGGCTGAACGGTGGCCGGGTAGGTGTTTTTCAAATCCGTTGGCGGTAGTCCAGGCTTGCTGCTGGCCCATAGTAGCTAATCCCGTTAGGGTTGGGGTGCTGATCGGGAGTTCTGCTATTGGCTGCCTTGTGCCGTGTTGATGATTTATTGGCTCGGGATCTACCTGTAGTGCCATTGTTAGCTGTACATCTCTGCATCTTGCATTATCTAT